CCCCTTCCAAGCTCGTTTTCCGAACGATTCTACTTGAACTGGCCGAAATCGTGGGTCTCAGTAAAACTTGCATAACTCCTCAACTAAATGTGATAGAAAGTTGGGCCTTGTCTAAATCGAAAGAGAACATTTTTTTCTACCGAATTGTCATGACAGAATCCATAACAATATCAGAATTGCGTTCAAAATAATGTTTGCAAAATGTCCGTTGGGATTTCATATGATTGGTCTATTATGAACCAATCAAATTTTTGTATTGAAATCTGGCTCCAACATTTCTCTGTCTAATGGTCAAAACCGCAGCTCTCTATCATGTTCCGTTCAAAAGTTAATAAAAAAACACTAAGGTCTCTTCTATTTTGAAACGGATAATAGTATCGTTCATGCTGATCATGAATAGAATAATTACAACTCTTAGAGATTTAATGTTAAAATTCAAAACGCCTTTTATTTATATCTGATTTTTGAGACTCCGTTCTCATCTAGGTTAACCGCTAAAAGGGTTTCTATATATAAATTTCAAACTTTCTATAAAAATCCAAATGAATTAAGATCATCAGAAATATAAGTAGAATAAGCAAAAGTACTGTTCGCCCAAGGGATTCCTGGTACATTAAGTACTTTTGAACATAAGTCAGGATGTGTTAGTTAGACTTTGAGCAAAAGTATTTTATTATCCTTATTGTTCACTGACATTTTTGTCATTCTCATCAATGTCACTGAAGTCTTTTTCTGTTCACATGTGTTGGAAACATGAGTAGATAGTTTTCTTTAATTTTTGGCACAAAAACAAATACTTGACTACATTAACTTGGAACACCATCATAAATGTAATTTACTATAAGAAAGAGAAAACAGATATCATATTTATACGACATATAACATTTGTCAGTGAATTTCCTCAAGTAATAAATTGATTTTGGAAATAAAAACTGTTCTATTAAATACATTATACTATAACTAAAATAACTCAAAAAGGATCAATTTCCATAGATTTTTCTTCTAGAGTGATCACAAGGAACTGTTGAACGAGCAATGCTTTTGCTTATTATTCTAACATCATTCTGTTCCTATTTCACCATTACAAAATAGTTGAGTATATTTGATCATCTTGATCCTGGCAGAACTTCGAAATTTACATATAAAAGACTTACTAGCTATTAATTCATGTGAGAAAAGGATGTAAATGTGAACTATGATTGATAAGCAAGATCGACCTTGTTACCCTCATAGATTTATTTCTCGAAAATATTTTAATGTCGCAATGTGACCTTAACACCACTTGTCCTTTAATTCAGAAGAAAAACAAAAACAATAAAATATCTTACAGCAATATTTGTTTTATAATGATCAAATGTATTTAATTCTTGTACTGTTTTTTTCCAATCATATGTATTAATTAAATAATCTCGAATACTTTCAACTGTTTTACGATTAAAACCATATGTTGATTTATTAACATATTTATTATCAATCAATATTTGCGGTTCATAAAAACGTGTTTTACTTGCACGATTAATCATATCATCAATTTGTGATCGATCGAATGGAACTGTAAATGATTTTATTGAAAGATCCTCCGTATCAGTTGATGTTGGAATGTTTAAACCAAAATATTTGACATCAATTGTATAACATGGTGGACGTCGACTTTCAAATAAATATTTCCATCCATAGATAGCAGCAAATATCAGAACAATAACAGCTATAATATGATTCAAACGAGAAAGACCCATCTGAAAAAAAAAAGAAAAAGAAAAAGAAAAGAGATATGATTTATCTATTTGGGTTCAATGAATGTTATGTATTAAATAGCAAACAAAGAAAAGAAAAAAAGAAACATGGACAAATAGCTAAATGATCTTAATAAACTACACACTGTTATTGTTTTTTGTTGTTTTCTCTTTTTTGCTATGAAATTTATTGAAAAATGCCAGACGAAGCTTTAATAGCAGCTTCAGCACAATCAATTTCAATTTGTGCTTCAGCTTTTTGCTTGTCATCTTTAGCTGTTCCTAATCGGCGATGAGCTTCAGATAAAGCATCATGTGCAGCCTAATAAATTGAATTAAAAAACAATTTTATTTTATTTTTTTTAAAGTAATTTATTTTATTTTTACTTTAGAATCAAGATTTTCAAGAAGTGTTGCTTCTTCAGCTAATAATTGAACTGATGAATCGGGATGAACTGCAACTGAACCGCTACTCACTAAAAATAAAGAAAATTTTTGAAAGATAATCAAAATGATTTAATTGAAAAAAAAAAACTTATCGATTGTGTCTATCGATTACTTTGGGATTAATGATTTATTCAATAAATCGAAACAAAGGTACGATTGTACACTTTAAATTATAAGATAGACGTATAGAATCTAGCTGCGAGCGTCGGAGGAAGTGTTTCAGATTTAGAGAAAATTTTTCATTTGAAATTTCTGTGATTTATTTATTAACCATTTGAGTATCAAAGTGTAGCATTCAGTGCGACTTTGTAGGTTTTTAATTTTTGAATAACTCTCGAACGCAGTGAAAGTATTGAGATGTGACGATGTAATTTTGTCGAATGATCTTCAATATGATATTGATTTTGCTTGGAAGTAGATGGAGAAATATGCAAAATAAAACGTTTTAAGAGTTACAATGAATGTGAAGTCTACTTGACAGTATTCAGTTTATGGATATTTTTTCCCTACATTTTTATTATTATATTTGTTACATTATTATGAGAGACATTAACCATAAAAATTATGATCCTTGATTTCTAACCTTTCTCTCCCTATGTGAGTTTCAATTGTGTATGTTCTGAATTACTTGAATTATCTAATAGTTAATACGTATATTTGGCATAAATAATCGAAAGACACTTTAGGGTATTTGGCGCAATTTTTTGAAGTAATAATAATATTGCATAGCTGAATTTTTGGAAACTATTAAGAGCTAACAGTTCAGTTTCATGTTCTAGATAGAAGAGAATCAGGGTAACATGTTGGTAGAAAGAAACTCTTCATCTCTTTTTGGTTAAGAGTTTTGACTATCTTATAATACAAGACATGATCTGTTTATATCTCACGAATCATTCAATGAAGGAAGCCTAAACTTGTTGAGTGATTAGCATTTATTGATATCAATGATCTTACAAATTTAGAAACTACTAGCTATCATAATCCGGCAATGGATTATTAGACAACATAGCAACAGCTTGTTCTATTATTTAACTATAAAATTCAGTAGTTTTTTTTTCTGAATGAAAATTGTTTCCATCAAATAAAGATTAGTATTTTACATGATTTTTTTGTGTGTTAAATAAATTGATTCCTCTTTTGCTTTATTCAGATAACGAGGGAAATTTATCGTCTTAGCAACAGATTTTTCAACCATATTATAAGATTTTTGAGTGTATTTTTTGTTTTGAATAATTATTAATAGAAATACTTACTCATAAGATATTTATATATAATTTGAGTCTATTATCTGATGAGATCAAATAATAAAAACAAAAGTTCTTAATACTGTCATATTCAATTTAATCACTTGGTTCTTAAGAGTACATATGAACTGATGTTAACAATTTGATTCTTTCAAATAGTAAAAATCACGTATCATAATCAAATTCATGTTTTTCATCTTCATTATTTCCCTTCCTGAATAATTCGGCAATGCATCTAATTTCCGATTTTTTGTCCTATTGGAAGTTTAATAACTCATTTATTGAAAAAGAAACTATGTCATTCTTTATCCTACTAGCACGTTTTCTTTTGAGTATCAGGAAATTTTTTAAACTTAAGTGAAAAATTATTCTCCTACGTATACAGGATGATGCAAAAATCTTAGCTCCTTTTTATTAAATATTTTTAAAGTAAAATAGTACAGTAAAACGCGTTCTTTAAATTGATCCAACTCATTAACTAAGAAAATTATAAGTCTAGAAACATCAGTCATATTTAGAAGCAATTAAGCCGTTAATATATCAGACATTAACAATGACATAGAAAACTAATGAGAAAACTTTCCCGGATGTCTCCTTCCGATTTGAATGCTTTCCTTTTGCTTGCAGATACTACATAGTATTATAGTGAAAGCCTTAAAAGGATTTGAGTTCGTATGGAGGCTCGCCGGAACTATTAAATATTTAATAAGTATATTTATCAGAGGTCCCTATAGGGCTTAAGATTTTTGGAAAACTCCTCTTTTTTTAATTTTGTCTTGAAACTACATCCGTTTGAAAGTGTCAAAATCAAGTAGCTTGTGTTAAGTGTTTTAGAGGTAGACGACATCATATACCTAAGATACGAACTTTTCAAAATCTTTTATGTGATTCAATACACTTCGAAAAGCGTCTGTATTTGGTAAATTCATAGCTCGGAGATACAAAGTCTTTAAACTATGAAACTTTTTATACAAGTTATTGCATTTGACATTCTTAAATGAAGTTAGTTTTACAAAAAAAAAAGTCAAAAACACGCACTTTCAGAAAACCTGGATTCCAAAAAGTGTCTCTGGTAAATAAACATATGAAAAATTTAATAGTTCCATCAAGCCTCAATAGAAATTCAAACCCTTTTAGAGCTTTCACTAGCCTACTATGCAGTACCTGTAGGTAAAGAAACGTTGAAATCGGAAGTAGGAATCTCGGAAGATTGCCTCGTTAGTTCCCTATGTCCTTGTTAATG